TTTTTTGTAAAGTTAAATCGAGGATATATTTATATATTAATTGTTCATCCTAATCTATACAAATGTAAAGGTTTCTTATTCATTATCTTCATTCAGCTATTTCTTTTTTCTTTCTTTAAAATTTTATATATAATATGAAACCGAATCTATCTGTTGTATTTTTGAGTATTGTCATATGGATATTCTTTTTCTATTCATTTTCGTATATAATATGATGATCAATAAGTTTATTTATTTATTTCATACATTGAATAAATAAGCCAATTCTTTTTTAGCATTGATATTATAAATATTACACATAAAAGTAAATATCTAGTTATGTAGTATCTATATCTATTATATACGCTCATTTTTTTATTTATATAAACTGTTAAATTATCTATTTATTGATTCAATATCTTATACAGATGTCGATCATCATTGTCAGTTCTTTTCTTTATGTTTTTCTAATTTATTTTATTTTATTCTTCATTGTGGCTTTAAATTGATAATTCCATGTCGAATCATTTGTCTCTATATCTATAGATGTCATACAATGAAATATATATATGTATGTGTGTTTGTTATTTGTCTTGAAATAATTTTGAATTTTACATATCATATATAGGAATTTAATAAAGTTAAATGTAAAGGAAATACATGTTTTATATCAAGTTACATATATTTCAAATAAAACATCGATGTAAACTCTTTCAATGTATAGTTTTGTTTTTTTTAAACATAAAAAGGAATTCTATATATCATAGTACTTGTCGTTTCTTTCTTATAGGTGTTTTGCTTAGAGTTTCGTCATATTATTCAAGTGAAAATAAATGATGATAATACAAAGAAATAGAAGAAGAAAAATATTAAATAACTTTAAATAAAAAATTATGTTTTCATTTTTCTTACTGCAGTCTCTTCTACTTCTATTTATATCGATATAGTACATATCTATATATTGGTATTTATAATAAGATAGATTATCATTTAAAAATTAGTTTTGCCTTCGCTTTCGAATATAAATAAAATGAAATCGAATATAACATGCAAATATCGTTTATAGAACTGAAGTCTATCGAATCCGCATGTATTTTATCATTATTATTATTACTGTTGCTACGGTTGATGATAATAGATAATAGAGAAAGTTATTTATAAAGAAGAAGTATAAAACATGTCGAGATGTATGATTTGTCAACCAGTATACATATGTAGATGCAACATATATGATGATCAAGAAAAAGAAAAGAAAATCATAGTATATAATTCTCATATAGCTATTGCATTTTTTCCCTCATTTTCATATACAATATGAAATCGAGTCAATCTATTTGCTTATTCAGGATTTTGATTCAGCTGTTTCTATTTTTTCTACGAACTTTCATATTTAATACGAAAACGAATTAATCGATCTTATTATTCAGCTATTTCTATTTTTGTTTTTCTTTCATGTTCATATATAGTATGAAATCGAATAAATCCATTGCATTAATCAAGATTTTGATTCGGCTATTTCTTTTTTCCCTTCATTTTCGTATCTAGTATGAACATAAATAAATTTATTTATTTGTTTCAAGAATTGAATGAAAAAGCCGGTTCTTTTTCATTAATATTGTAGTACTAGATATAAAAATAAAGATCTAGTTGTGTATGTATTTATATTTATTATATATGATCATTTTTTTATTTATATAAATAGTTAAATTCTCTATTTATTGATTAAATGTCACATATATATGTACATATATATATCGGACATTATTATAAGTTCTTTCTTCATATCTTTCTAGTGAAATTTATTTTATTCTTCATTTTAATTATCAATAGATAATTCTGTGTCGAATCATTTGTTTCTATTTCTATAGATGTCATATGATGAGATGTAATTGTTTTTTATATTTATCATATTATAATTGAACTATATAATACATATAAAATAAATATATAATATTATTTTATTTCTTTACTCGATTTTGTTTTATTAAAGTCAATCATATAATTACAAATGACAATGATGAATATATTTCAAAAAATCTTCATATAAATATATTGAATTAACTTATTTCTAAAAGACAAAAGAATAAGTTTATATATTCTATCTATTTGAATAAATATATATATTCATATGAATATAATTTATAATTTATTTGAACTATCAAACAAGATATTCACGATGATTTTATTGTATATCAAATATGCATTTTGTCTATGTTTTCTTATATTGAAAATAAAAATACAATCATGTAAAATTTTATGAAGCAATGAAAAATATTACTGATGATTACTTTATGTTGTATATATGTATATGTATTTGTTATTTGTCTTGAAATAAATTTTAAATGTCATATGTCATGTATAAGAATTTAATAAAGTTAAATGTAAAGGAATTAGATGTTTATATTAAGTTATATATATCTTAAATAAAACATCGACGTAAACTCTTCGAATGTATAGTTATGCCTTTCTTGAACAAAAAAAAGAATTCTATATATTATAATACTTATCGTCAGTTTCTCATGTGTTTTGCTTAGAATTTCGTCATATTATTCAAGTTAAAATAAATGATAATAATGTAAGGAAGTAAAAGTAGAAGAAAAAGAAAAAAATTATTAAACAACTTTGAATAAACTTTTTTTTCGTTTAATTTCCATTGTCTCTTCTTTATATATATATATATATATATATATTAGTATTTAAAGCAAGTTAAATTATCATTTAAAAATTAATTTTATCTTTGCTTTCTAATAAAAATCAAATCAAATGTAGCGTGCAAATATCGTTTATAGAACTGAAATCTATCGAATCAGCATGTGTTCTCTTTCTCGTAGAGAAGAGTCCAGTAAACATAAATTGTTTGTTTGTTTGCTTGCTTGCTTGCTTGTCTGTCCGCAGGGTCAAAAAAACATTGAAATTTAATTTTTCAGATACTTCCAGAAAACTTTGACTGGGGGGTAATCGAGGGCGGGGAACTTGAATCTGAGGTTAGTTTATTAAAACTAACTAGTTAATAATCAGTTAATAATCAGTTAATAATTGATATTATTAATATTTGAAAAAAGTTTAACTGAAGGGTAATCGAGCGTGGAGAATCCGAATCTGAGGTTATTTTTAGTTAACAATCAATTAATAATTAATATTATTAATTTTTGAAATATTTTCGGAAAAGTAGGATCGAAGGGTAATCGAGTATGGAGAACTCGAATCTAAGATTCGTTTATTAAAATTAATTAGTTAATAATCAGTTAATAATTGATATTATTAATATTTGAAAAAAGTTTGACCGAAGGGTAATCGAGTGCCAAGAATTCGAATGTGAGGTTAATTTTAGTTAAAAACCAATTAATAATTAATTAATATTATTAAACTTAAAGATAGTTCCAAGAAAGTTTTACCAGAGGGTATTCGAGAATCGATTGTTTAGAAAAGACATTTTTGGGGCATTTCAATGTGGAGACTTCGATTCTGATGTTAGTTTTATAAAATAATTTTATGGATCACTTTTTTAGGGAGAGAACCAATTTTTATAAAAAAAAAATTTTGATAAGGGGTGACTGAAGGGTAAGTGGGGTGGAAGAACACAAATCTGGTGTTAATTTTTCCAAACTGTATAAGGGAAAAGTTTAGTATTGTATAATACGATTTCTACGAGAAAGAGCTAAGCGAATCTTCGGATGAGCGTTACTTGTTTTATTATTGTCGTTTGTTGATGATGATGATAGATAATAGAGAAAAAGATGTTCATAAAGAAGAAGAAAAACATGTCGAGATGTATGGTTTGTCAACCAGTATACATATGTAGATGCAACATATATGATGATCTAGGAAAATAAAATAATATTATAATATATAAGAAATGAAGAAAGAAGAAGATGACGATGATGATTGCAATGACAATAATTGAAAATTTAAGAAACAAAAAATATGTTGCTCATTGAGCATTGTATATGTGTATATGTATATAACATTATATAAATAGATGAGAACATTTCTGTTTATTAAAAATGCTTAATCGTCATCAAACTTAGATATGTAGATTGAAAGTTGAATCATTTATCAGAATATCAATTGGAATTGGAAGAATATTATGGAAAATAAAATATCTAACCAAAAGCAAATATCTACGTCAGTATTCATCGTATATATATATATATATGCATAAGTGTATTCGATTACACTAATAGATGAGAAATTTTCTTTCTATTGAGAATGTCTTATCGTGATGAAATTCCAATATTTAAATCCGCAATAGATTCTGCTATTAGCACTGCAATTTGAATCGGCAAGATAATAGAGAAAATAAAAAATTTAAGGGAAAAATAAATATTTCCGTAATTGCAAATTGTGCGTATGTATACATGTATGTGAGGTAATATTTAAAGGCGAGAATATTTTCCTGTATGAGAGATGTTCCACCGCGGTGAAAACTATGGATTTGGATTGACAATTGAATTTCTTGTGTGAGTTTAAAGTGAAAAGTAGAGAATATTAGTAATAGAAAGGTTGGAAAGAGAAACAAATAAGACTTTTGGTACATTTTATAAAAGATTTTTTGTTTATGTCTCATTTCAGATTTATTCATAATTGGAATTTAGTCGTATTATCAATTATGACTGTCGAATGTATTTTTGTTCTACACAGTGCGTGAGTCATTGTTGTCCTAATTGTGATCGAATGACTCGTTCGCAGAAGTTCGGACGTTTACTTCAAGTTCTGGAACGGTGTTCTGAAAGTATCGTTTATCACGATGAGATTGTTAATGCTGTACAACGAATTCGACGAGTACGTACATATTCGTATGGTATCAAATGTATTTTGTATTGTTTAGATGGAATCGATGATGTCACCATTGGAGTTTCGTCCTTATAGGGTGTTTGATGATAGAATCCACGTGGTGGATTTGATTGCAAAGGAATATCTTGAAAAAGCATCGGCGGACGTACAGCATCTTATTCCAGTCGATGTTGGTGCTGATGGAAATTGTTTATATCATTCTGTTATTCTTTTGATGAATGATCCAACACTAACAGCAAGTGAATTACGAGGTTCGTAGAGGTTTTTGACATGTGCGTTGTGATAGTAGGAAAATTTTGACAATTTTTTAGTTCGCACGATTATTGAACTCGTAATAAATGAAGCGTTTTATTCCGATATGCATACACATCGGGCAGGGCGTATTGATATAGCTATTAAAGCTATATGCAAAAATCGTACATATTCAGGATTGTACGAAATTTGTGCTTTATGTAGTATACTCAAATGCAATATACGAAGTGTCTATCCGGAAATTGATTTTGAAGCTGGCATGGCTGTGATGAATAGTATATATACACCTATTCCGCCGATCGTTGCTAATTATGAAGTTGCAGTTTTGTGGTCGAATGTGCGGAAAGAAATGCATGTGCGAGTGGTGACTAATAATGCATGGAGGCCAAATCATTTTGTGCCCCTCTTAGCACCAAATCAGCAATATGATTTTGATCAAAGGAATCAATTATTATTATCTAATGTCAAAGTAAGCGATTCCACCTTAAATAAATGTTTTAACAATTTTCATTTTCGAAACTATTTTCTTTAAGACTCCTGAAAAGAAAACATTTAAGAACAATGCAGTCGCTCAAATACGCATTCCTGAATTTGAATCTTCCGCTAACAGACGTGTACGTAGTGTTATCAATATTGAAAATGAACACAACAAAGCAACTAGTCCGATTGCAATCGAACAGACTCAGACGAACATGGAAGAAGAACATGAAAATCGACTTGCGAAAGATAGAGAACGTGTCCGTCTGAGACGAATTAATGCGACGGAGGAACAACGTCAAAATCGACTTGCAAAAGATAGAGAACGAGCTCGATCCAGACGAGACAGTCAAGCTGAAGAACAACGGCAACGTCGACTCGAGCAAAAGAAAGAACATGCACGATCTGTACGGCAGAATGAAACAGATGATCAATATCAGTTAAGGATCAATTATCAAAGGGGTCGAAGTCAGGCCAATAGAACCGAAAAAAGACTAGAAAAACGGACATCTGACAACATCATTATTCAACAGCAGAGCATCAATATGACAAAGAAAAAAAAAA